TGCCGGAGCAGGAGAACGGGGGAGCTGTGCCAGACGCCGAGACTCAGGCGAGAGCGGGCGATGCTGGGCAGGAGGAAGACCGCGAGGTGCTCCGTATCCAGGCTCGCGACGCGGGAGGGCCTGAGGGGGATGAAGACGAAGACGAAGAGGATATTCGTGTCATCCCTCGGGTGAGTAAGGCAGAGGAGCGACCTTGCTTCCGTAAGTCGAAACAGTCCGTGCGTTGTGAAGACGCTCGAGCACGCTTCCCGATTCTCTTTTACGCGTTCTCTGAGATATTTGTCGAACATCGTGCAGCGGCGGCCCCGCGGGAGAGCCGTGATCTTGGAGAACGAGCGGCGGCCCCGCGGGAGAGCCGTGATCCTGGAGAACGGGCGGAGACAAAACGCAGAGAAGCCTGTTATCCAGGTAAGCTGAGCCTACACCTCCACAAGAGTCCGCAGATTACCTTTAGCGTTTGCACCGACCTTGCACCAGAGGTGTCTTCTGTCAGCCTGTGAGCACCGTCTTGCGCGCCGTCCAAATATTGAGTCAAACATGACGGGTGCGTATTTGCCACGCACGCCGTCGTCCTAGAAGTCGATGAGGATTATCACCGCTACTACAACGTCTCGTGCGAGGTGGACCGCATGGGCAAGATCAAGGACCTCGTTCGACTCCCGATACACTTTGTACGTTTCAACCCCGCCAAGAGGCGCTATGGGCTCCTGAAAGACCTTCTGGAACGCCTTTTTCTCGATTCCAAAGGCGCAGAGAATGCCGCAGGAGTATATGTGCACTTCGTTGGGTACCCTGAGGATAGGGTCCGAGAGCTCAACGACGAGGAAGAATTCTGCTTCCAGTACGCATCAGTCGCAAGTATTGATTGATAGAATTCCTGTGATAGCAGAGTGAGTGAAACAACAGAAGTATTTTTAGAATCTCACACGGTTGGGTAGGGAATATCATATACATCGCCAGTATTCCAGGTTTCGAATGAGGGCAGTGGGTAATCGACGGTCTTGACCACGCTTCCATCTGCCATTGTGATGATGAGGTTGACGCCTCCCTGACCGGAAAGGTCTCCTCCGGTCGCAAACCAACTCCCCCAACCCGCTACTTTCTCACCCTTCTTGAATCCTCCATTTCTCGTTTCGAAGTCGACTGAACGTACTTCTCCTACTCCATGAAGTCTCGAAGGGACGATCGCCTTAGCCCACCTGTTCCAGGCCTGGGTTCGCACCACGAAGTGATCGTTGTGCGGATAATTCGGACTTCCCAGGGAGTCGCAAGGAACCCGGGTCCATGTCCCCGTGAAAAGGCCACCATTCCCACAGTTGATGTTCCCACTTCCATCCCTCAGGCTCTGGAAGTAGTCGAACTAATCACAGCACATGTCTATGTGTGATCCTTGAGGAGGCCAGGCACGGTCGCCCAGTGAGTCGATGGGGTCCGTGATATCACTGATTACGTAACCCCGTGATTTACCATCGTATGACAGGATTCCACATCCTCCACATGAGCCCAAAAAATCGTAATTCCCGGAAGCGACATGCAGAGGGTACAAACTGTTCTTGACGAAATCCGTATCTCCATTGACGTCCGAACCATACCCGCACTGACCGTTGCCGGTCGCACAGTCCATGCCGGGGCTAGAATAGAAAGTCACTGTGACGGGAGCAGAATCACCGAAGCTAAGAGTACTTCTGCGATTGGGCATGGTAGCATTCGCATCTGCCATCTTATCGGTCCATGTCTCGAAAGCACCATCGGATTTTAACATCCTTCCACACAGGGCAGCATTCGGCATCAGCACGAGGGTAGCGAAAGTTGCGAACAGAACCAAGG